ACATCCTCTTACACACCCACTTACGCAGGACCCGAAGGCGCTAGCACGTGACTGTTTCTCTGACTAGGATACAACGAGTTGGCTCATCACGCGTCTTCAGAATCTCGTTTCCCGGTGCCATCACACGATTGCTGAGATAGCGAGATGTGGAGAGGCCACATCCTCTTACACAGCTACTTACGCAAGGCCTGAACGTACGCAGGCCTGAACTTACGCAGGCCTGAAGATGCTGTTGTCGATGAGCATGTGGGGAGGTGAAAACTTATCCTGGGGGCTTAGACCTTCTTTAGTGCGCGTATATTAGCCTTGTATTTGTCTGCCAAAGTTGAAAGACTCAATCGGAGAAAACCAAGAAATTTGAATGGTTATGACTGCAGTATTAAGCGCACTGGACAGGTTCCAAGACTTTATGGCAATAAACTTAGGTACATTCCTAATACAAAAGATGTATTTCTTTAGGTAAGAGACAAAGGGGATCCAGGTGGGATCATGGTCTACGAACATACCTATGATTCTCTATGGCTGCTCTTATAGGAGAGACATTGGCCTTCATGAACCCTGGGTAGAAAGACATTGGCTTGCGCATGAATGCCACTATTGCGCATATTTTGACACAGATATTCTACACACCTTCGCCTCACCGGCGAAGATATGTAGAGAACAACTTTGCCGCCTTTCGTATTCTTGCCCGCACATGCAGCTTTGTTCCGGACACCCAGATGCAGGTGTTGTTGGGGTAGATATATACATTACATTTCATTACATTAAATTTATTATATTACATTATACTACATTAGCCGTCTGTGGTAGGGTTTCGGTAATCTTCACCAGAACTAAAATATAATAAGCTTCTAGTTCAACACAACACCACAGATGAAATTATTACTGGCAGGCTCCATTTCTGTTAGGATTAACATTGACGTCTGTTTGAGACTAACCTATCGAAATACATAACATCCAAGTACCAATTCCTCGAGAGCATCGAGAATGATGGTATGGATAACGTTATCACAGGCGCATTTCACATCTTAGATAGCACTGTGAAAATTGCTTCATAGTTTTCTGTTGTTGAATGACAATAATTAGAGGAATGACGTTATGTAGTGACGACCAACCTTGGTGAAAGCCAACCATATCATCAGAGTGTATTCGGTAATGATCGAGGTGTCAGCAGCATCCCCACCTTGACCTTGCCGGCACAATGGCCCGTCATTAGGCCACGTCAAAGAGAGACTTCACAGGATTCAGGAGAGGCACCAGGTGGCTGCACTTCCACTCAGGAGAGTCCACATTGCCATCGCAAATTTTATTGAATATTTCCAGAATGCAGTATTGTCCATACGATTCTACGTGACGTAACGCAGCACTTGTCACCTCATCTGGACATGGTGAGGACGAGTGCTTGCACACGTGCAGTGTACGTTTCCAGTTCGTCCATATAATCCACGCCCAAGCACTCCATACAAACGGTTCACCAGCGAAAGCTGAAACGTGCTGCCCCAGTGTTCAGCAGTGGGTTCCACTATGACGCCTCACCTGAAGCCACTGAATGGCAGACGCTGGACCATCAGTCATTCTTTGATGAAGTTGATCCTATGCAAATGCGATAAGATCGGCGGATAAACCTAGCCATTGATGGTGCTGAAATTTGGCAGAGTGCCTTTGCTCAGTGAATTCCTGCACGTCTGATAGACCCGAAACTGACAGACATGGGAGCAGTCAGAAACCACCGCTTCAGCACCGTCATTACGTTGCTTCGTCCCTGTGAAAACCATTTCATCGATTTTTGTTAGATCGTTCTCGAACCGTAGGTGGTCACAGACATCGCTCCGGAAGCCAAAGTGGCACTGGAGAAACTCCCGCCGAAATCGCTTGTTTATCCGCAATCATCTGTTTGATGCTGTTGTGCCCGCAACGTCGCTTGTTCGGCGCATTATTGTTGCAAGCGCTTAACATAGCGAGACAACTTGGTGGCGTGGTTTGCAGGATGCACCCACTACCGGTGCCTGCATTCACGTTGGTGATTTAGCACGGCTGGGAAGCCTGCTGGATTATTGGTACGCATTTGCTGCCGGCACTCACCACCTTGGCCTCTTTTGTGTCGTTCTGTAGCATCGGCCTGGCGAATGTGAGCTCTGTCACGTTTATACTGCCGGCGCTGTTCTAAAGTTTTCCGCTGTTCAAGAGTCCGTAAGGTTTGTGGCTTACCTATGTGGAAGGTCTCAGTATAAACTGATGCACGCCTTCTCTCTGCCACGGCTGTGACAGGGTAGGTCGACGTGAGTCACAGTGCATGCTGAGAACGCTGTAACTGGTAGCACAGTTAATAGAGACCGCTTGTGACACTGGTGCCTAATGGCTTTTTGCTCCTCGTAGGCATATACGCTGCAAAAGCAACTTCCATATGCTGATCTCGCACTACAGGAACGTCATGTCACAACATATCAGTCAGAGCAGTAATGTCACCAAACATAATGGCACTGAAATTCGCCAGCAACTTGGAGCTTTTTGTATTTTTGATGTAATCCCAGTGCCGCGAATGCATGACGCTGTTGTGAACGTGAGCCAATGTCTTGTATAGTTCTCTATACAAAATACAAAGGCTTTCGGAGGTCCATTACGATCAAAGAAACGTTTCTATCGTAGTTCTCGAAGCTTATTCTTTTGATCATTGATGTTTTTCTGAAGGCACCTGGCTTTGTTGAGGACCCATAGGGCTTGGTTCATTTATGTTGTCTTTGGGCACGCTGGCGAATGTCCTTAAGCTTTTCTAACACTTGATCGAGTTCTGTAGATCATGATGATGATGCTACGTCTTCATAGAAGTCTGCATCTCATGACGAACCACATCTTAAATACATTGATGTGGTTCATATGTGCACATCTCTTAGCGTTTGGTACACTTCCCAGTGTGAATCTGTTTTACAATTCCAGAAAAGACAGAACCACCAGGACACATTGCTAAGAAAAACGTGGCAATGTCATCCCTTCCCTAAGTACTAGTATCTGTAAGCCATTGAACATGGTGGACATAACTCTGCGACCTTCGTGTGAAGTCCTGTCAGCTGCTATAGGTCACTCTTCAAAGATACGTGGGCGGGCATTTCTTCAGTGTTTTCAGTTCGTGAACATCAAGAAGGCTTGTGCCTTTTCAATATGTCATCAAGCTTCACACAATGAGTCATAGGCGTAAAGTCATTCGCCATTATCTAATATCCTGGAGATAGTAAGCATATCTTCTAGTATCTGTCAATCAAGTCAACGCAACGGGGATATATGTGGGTCCTATTAATGTAAACGACATTCTTTTTTTACCTGGAGACACGCATAATAATTTCCACCTTGGGTCTCAACTCCTTGCTGAACATACGTGAGTTCATTTCGGATGTACACCATTGCTTAGGATCTCTACTTTTGAAAAACGCGCTTCCCAGATTATGATTATGTGAAACTTATTCTCAAAAACAAACTGCACAAGTTCAGACATTTATGTATGCGCAGTTATGGCGTTCCACTGAAGTATGGAGGCTCGCTTGACTTGTTCTCGGAAAGACTGCAGTGTTCTGTGGTGTTTCATCTAGTTACTACAGGGTGGCACGTAGTGGTTCGGGGGTGTACACAAATCGCAGTACACATTTAGTGGCGGGTATCTGCAGACTAGCCAGGGACGTGCGGATAACACTAATAAGTTATCTCAGTGCGTCGAAAACTTGACCTCTTGTGCTGATAGACTACCTGTTGTAGCCATCATTGATTGTCGATGCTGTGGCTTTGTAGGAAGGTGTATCAGCGTTACATCGGCCAAGCAATGTCTGTTATCATAAGTCTGTTGCAAGTTCACTCATAAGCAATCTCATTGAATTGAAAACCTGCCATCTTGTGCTAATAGGCTGCTTGTTGTAGCCATTGTTGATTGTCGATGCTGTGGTTCCATAGGAAGGTGTCTTAGCAGATACGCAGGTCAAGCATTGTGAGAAACTCTAGTCTGCGTGTCAGTGGTTTTGCGTTTCTCTGGTCGAGTTACACCTAATGGTGGTAGCTGGGCAGTCATTATCGTCACAGTGGCGGTGGCGTATTCGTAGAACCGTTGTGCAAAGGACTGCTGTTTCCTTTGTTTCAGTACCTCCGTCCACGTGAACGTCATCTCTGAAGAGGCGTCACTGTTTCCTCTCTTTGGGACCCGTCCGTCACTATTCTCTCAAGATTCCTTCCTTTCCTTCTTGATACTTTGCAGTCTTCGGATGAGTCGTCACTATTCTTACTCTAGGTTCTGCATTTCAGAAGATTTTCTTCGCAAGATTTGGGTTTTTGGAATACGGCGCAACTTGAGTAAGCTAGCTTGTAGGTATTCAGGCGACCAATATGGCCCAGTTTCGGGTACTTGTAGTACTACAGGGATCTTGGAATTTAGGGTTGGATTCCATGACTAAATAAAGCCAACCTAACATGGGTTGAGATGCTGTCATCTCTGAAGATCACGTGGATGCTACGGGGTTACCAAGTCGCTATACAAGTACGTCCTGTGGCGTTGGTAGCTGGTTTGAGCACCATAAAGATGCTTCTGTTTGGAAGAGAAGTGTAGACATCATAGATGACGCATGTTTTTGTGTTCGCACCCTGCAGTGCGTAAGATCTGAGCCTGACATCGTCTATCTACGTAACATTTCGTAGAGTATATAGTGCACCCGAATGTTGAACATCTATAGCCGATATGTTTGCGTGGATTGAGACGACTGTACTTTCTCCAATTAGGCAAGACAACTTTGTGTCATACACGAATCACTTGCCTGTTTGTACTCTTCGCTTTGACTTCACGCAATCACAAAGCTTTTTGACAAACTATAGATTCACGGCGTCACTTTTTCAGAGTTCTTCCTTTTCTCCCGACTGAAAAGGGTCATGAAAGGACGGCACCACGAGTCAGTCCGGGCTATTTAAGAGACCGTAACAAGGGAGCTAAAGTTCTGCTCCTGTTTGTGCGTTTCATGGATCTTTTAGTGATGGTCACAGGCGTGCGCAGGTGGGGAGGAGGCAGGGAGGGAGAGCTGCCTCCCCAGACACCTAAGAAAGGGAGGGCACTGTCTGCCCTATACACTTACTTCCTAAAGAGGGAAGGTGCTGCAATGAACCATCGCCTACCCCATGCTTGGAGTGAACGCTGCTCGCTATATGACGATGGCAGAGTTTCAGGAAACGCTTTAATGCAGAAGAAGCATACATTTGGAAAACTAATAGGTTGATGTCTCAGGGCTGTGACTATTTTAGAGGCTAATGTGTTTCTTGAAGATCTTCGACGCAATAATTTTGGTGTGTCTGTCTGTCTGCCTGTCTGTCTGTCTGCCTGTCTGCACATTTGTCTGTTAATCAACTTTTAACGACACCGGGAACTTGAAACGGCCGACCCCATCCGCAGTGCCCACTAATGTTGCTCAAGGTTTAGCGTTTACACTTGTGCAATTTTTCATTAAAAAGCAATTATTGCGCATGTCTGGGGCACCGCAACAATACGTATATATTCTGCATGGGCGACGTTTGTTAGAAAAGGCATACATGAGTAGCTTTAAGGACCGTAGTGCTTATCACGCTGCGCTGACCACGCACCGCTTGCACGAACAGGCGAGTGTTTCTAGCACTTTGCTAAGACGAGATGGTGGTGGCACCTACTCGTCGCCGTGCGTTGCACACCGTATCACCTCTGAGACAGGCGCGCACATTAGTCTCAGAGCCGCGCGCTTCGTCTTCCAAGACAACTGCCAGATGGCGCTCATGACTCACGTCTTACGTGACTTGATGCGCTCGTTCATCTCCACTCTAACGCAGTGCCTCCAAATACCATTCACCGATTTTTTTGCGCAGAACATCGAATGAATGTTTTTTTTGTCGATTAAGTCCTATCTCTTTCCAGACAGATACATGCAAAAAGTATTCATATCTGAGACTTTTGTCTCAGGCACGAATATGAAAGGACAGAATTGAATGAACCCCTATAGGTTCTTTTATCGCACTGAACATTCCCACTGTTCTGTAAAAACATCAAGCGTTAATTTGTTTTTTTTCTTGCTGACATCAAAATGCGAAGTGTAACAGTTTACTTTTCTCTATGCCTATTTCAGGTACTGGTCATGGAATAATCATCAACAGCTGCCTAGTATGTATATGCCGATACTTCGACAGGCGACGAGGAGCGGCGTTGGGCCTACTCGCGACTGGAGGAACCGTTGCTGCTCTGGTCTTTACCAAGGTCTACGAGTACTTGCTCGCCGAGTATGGAGTTCAGGATGCGTTCCTCATCATTGGTGCGTTAGTAGGAAACGTTGTGCCCATAACATTGCTTATGCACCCACCACCGTGGGAGGCCATACCAAGCGAAAGAAAAATCGTCGCTGAAGGCGCCACTAACAGTGCACGGAATCCGTGTTGCGCTGCATCAACAAGAACAACTGACGACGTCTGTCATGAAGCATACCTGAAAACGGAGCATATCCGGCCTGCGACATTGCAAACTGAAAAGCCCACTCGATTCGCTCAAATTAACTGCGAGTACAACATTAGGAGGTGTACTGCATGGAGCTTCAACGAAACGCCAAGCGTCATTAGCTGCAGAAACGAAACTATCATAAGCACAACACATACCGCGGAGATACCGCGGCGTTGCCCTCTCTCGTTCGGCCAACCGTCCACGACGTCCAGACGAGGAACGTTCTCCAGCTGTACAAACAAAAGTCCGCTGCCCCCGTATGTCGCGCCAGACTTGAACAAATTGTGTGCAAGGAGAGTAACTATGAAAGGTGTCGCCGGATTGCTGCTATACATCTCTAACCAAGTTCCAACGCACTCCTCAGGGACTCATTCAAGTCAGGCACGAAGGCACACTGTCGCAAGTGTCAGTCTCTCGTGCCCACCTGGTGCTTCAACTGTGTGCAGCGATCCTAACAAGCCACGAACCTTCAATTATGAAAGACGAGGCACCTACCACCACAACGTTGCTGCTTCAGAATGTCCTGCAAGTGCTCAAGAATCCACGATTTTACTTCCACGTGTTGAGCTACGTTTCGAGGGGATTCTTTTTTGAGTGCTTCATGACGGTGGCGTTAGACTTTGCGCAAGACGCAGGCGTAGCACGTGCAGACTCTGTGTACGTGCTCACATTCTATGCGGTTGCTGACGCCATAGGTCGGTTGTTTGTGCCTTATCTGAGTGACTATGGCCTGATATCGAACTGCGGCCTGCTCACCATCAGCTACTTGACACTGTGCCTGCTCCAACAAGCGGCACCTTATGTTGCGGGTAAATATGACGTATGGGCGCTCTCGTGCGCATTGGGCCTGCCAAGTGGTTACATCATAGTTGGAGTGCCTCAGATCCTCTCCACAGAAATAGGCCCCAAAAATTTTCCAATCGCTTACGGATTCATGACCACTGCAACAGCTATTGGGAGCTTTCTGAGACCACTGCTAATTGGTAAGAGTAATAACTTGTTCTTTTTATACCTATTCAGAGTAGAAAATAGAACATGTTAATGAAAGTGCTGCACGGTTTCCTTAAGTCTGTCAAGGACGTTTGGTGGCGCAGGGAGCCTTGAGTAGCACAGAAAAGTAAATGGCGATAGTAGAAGTGAGAGTTAACTATGAGAGTGTAAGAAGTGTTAATGAGACAAAGCAGTGTGTGCTGGTGGTTCTCGCATGCAACAGTAGCGCTCTAAACAACAATATAGTGAGCCAAACAAGGAACGTGTCGCCACGGTCGTACAACAGGCGAAAACCACGTATGCGTTTTGACCCGCGAGTATGGCCTCGATATAGCGGGCCATAGCTTGTGTAGACGGCTAAAAATTCTGAATGAAATGTGAGAAAGAAGTGTGCATTTATGAGCTCGTTTTTATTGTTAGATACAATAATAATGACATCTAACAGACAAGATCTAATGGAATGAATGTAATAAAATCCACGAACAATTCAACCAAAAAAAGCACAGCAGACATAAATTGTTGTTTTCCTAACTGTAGAGTATAGACTCCTACCTATAGTGAAAGTGAATTCTAGTGCTCAAGAAAATTACGCTTTCTGGCCGTGAAATCTGAACCCACAGCCTTCGGATTCATTGAGTGTTCGATCCTCTGCTACAGCTTCGCAGCTACGTAATTCGAAGGTTGTAGATTAAGACAGCCCCAACCGAAGGGGTCATTTTTCATCCACTTCGCTTTCATTCCACGTTGGTGAAAATTTAAACTACACTCATGAAAAACAACAAACAATGCCCCGTATGTGTTCTCTGTCCTAATAGTCACTTGAGTTGAATTGTCATGTGCAATAAAGAAACAAGTCCTTCGAACAATTTTATTTTTAATACGAAAGTGCTTTATGCCGGGGTCAACCATAGCTCATCTGACGTACTTCCGTTACGGAAGCGATGCTAGAAAATATACACAAAAATGACGACGAAAAAAATTGGCCAGAATCTTCATGTTACACTGTAAATGTCGTTGATAGACGATATTCTTGCGTCTGGAGAGAGTGAACAAAACGTTAATTTGATGTTCTGCGCAAGAAAATGGTGAATGGTATTCTGAAGGCGCTGCGTTAAAGTGCTTCGAGCGTGTAACAGAGACGAACAAGCGAATCTAGGCACGTTAGACATGAGCGCCATCTAGGCATGTTAGACATGAGCGCCATCTGGCAGTTATCTTCGAAAACGAAGGCGTGCGCAACCGCGGAGAAAGATGCGCGCCAGTCACGGAGGGGATAAGGTGTAGAATGTAAAGCGACGGGCAGGTGCCACCACCATGCCGTCATAGCAAAGCGTTGGAAATGCCTTCTTGAGCATCGCGTTGCACTGTCGGCGCAGCACGTTAAACGCTACATTCCTTATAGTTTCTTGTGTGTGCCTCATCTAGTATAAGGCAGACATACGCAACATAGACATGTTGTTATGGCGCCTCAGTTATGCACAATATTTGATTTTTTATTTGACAATCGCACAAAGATGAACGATAAAACTTGAGCAATATTGGTGGGTGCTGCGGATGGGGTTGGCCGTTTGGTGCCGTTTGAGAAATCGTTAGGTTGGACAAACAGACAAACGTACAGACAGACAGACCAAAATTTTTTTGTCGAAGGTCCCCAAGAAAGACTATCGTCTTTAAAAATAGAAGGCAAACATCTGTAACGCAGAATCGTACTAGCAACTTTTAGATTCTCAGTGCGTGGCGTTAACCACTACGCCACAAAAAGTACGCTGTCTGCAGTGTTAACGGTAAGCCATTTATATACAACATACGTCAATTGGGAGTCTTCAGAGCTTCGAAACCTTTGCGCGTTCTTGCTGTCAGTGGTGAAATGGCACGACAGTCTCGCGTTTGACTGAGGTCCCTAAATAAACCAAGTTAACTTGTTTCAAAAACAAACTAAAAACAAGGCGCAACAAGTGAAAACAAGGTAAAACAAGTTAACTTGTGTTATCTAGGAACTTTAGCGCTTGACGTGCCTTCACGAATCGCCGCCCCCATGGTCCCACGCAGCGTGGTCTCTCCGGCGCACACGCTTATCAGACTCGTACTTCGGGAGAAGACGAAAGTCACTTCGCATGCGGCTACGGCCGCGTTTACGAAAGGAATACGCTACTGACACACGACGCAGGAAGAATTGTGACAGTTGTTAGTCCACGCTCGTCCTGTGTATGCTAATTTCGTCCGTGTGTGCACTGCAAGTTTTCAGTTGCTAGCAGTTTCTAACGTCACTTCGCAATTTGCTGCTGTTGCTGAAAGAATGCCTAATTAACGTTCAACTACCTATGTTAAGGCAAGTACCACTTTCATGTTTACCGATTCCTATACAGGCAGATGAGCCACGTTTTTTTTTTTTAACTTCGAGCTTCATCCCGGCCATTTCGTAATACTTGACGCTCAATGTGGCTAGTGAGGGTTCCCGGGTGTACTGCAACCTTGTGCGAAGGTCGCCTCCTACGTGATGTCCTATAGCAATTAGACGGTTCCTCCCTCGCCGCCTTGACTACAAATACGCAGGCTAACACTCCGACTTCAACACACGTAAATACCATGCAAAATGAACAAGGCAGCGCCTTCTGTTGTAGCCCAATTGATAGAATACTGAACATGTAATTCGAAGTTTATGGGATCAGATTACCATAGCAGAAAGGGTCTTTTTCGGTCCACACTTATTCTCGTCAGTTGAAGTAACTTTCGTTTCCCTACAGATAAAAAAACCATAACAGCAAATGTCCACTCTGCTTTGCTTCTTCTTTTGTTGCATTTATTGTTGCATTTATTGGTTCTTTTGTTGCATTTATTGGTTGCATCTAACAGAAAAAAAACACAAGATGGAGCACTCAAAAACTACACGTTTGTCGTAGATCAAATCTAGCGATATTAGACATGACCAATCTTTGACGTGCGTGCATTTTGCAATTAAAAGAGCAGTGACACCAAATTTTAAACTCGAGATTTGGCATTCATTCTATTGGTTAATGTGAATAATGATGATCACGTGGCTGAGTTTTGTGGTGACAGTGTGGAACACCTTTGGGAGAAATTCAAGAACATCTGTACGTTTTGTTTAGATAAATTCATTCCCAATAAGCTAAAAAAACGCATTAAGTTCACTCCGTGGGTCACGAGACCTATACTGCATCTAAAACGAAAGGCTGAACGTCTCAGGAAAAAGAGGGCAGCTTCCCAGCGCCTAGGTGAAGTCCGGTCTGCTTTACACGAAGCGATTCAACGCGAGAAAAGCTTTTATTTCAATACCACACTGGCTAATTTTATTAAAGATGACCCGCAGAAGTTTTGGGCCTACATTAGCGATCGCAAAAAGAACGTAGAACAAGTTTCTGTGAACGGTTCTCTGGTATCGGATGTGAAAGCGATTGCTGATCATTTTAACTCTTTTTTTCATAGTGTTTTCTGTCAGTCTTCTCAGCCTGTGGCTTTTGTACATGATTCCGCAGATACTCCACCAGGAAATTTAATTTCATATGAAGGAGTTTTAAACATGGTTCTTCGAATAAAAGTAAAATCCTCCGGTGGGCCAGAAGGAATACCGAACGAATTTTTTCGACGGTAGGCCGAGCCCTTGTCCAAATACCTTGTTACAATTTTGGAAGCTTCAATCCGTACTGCAACATTACCTAAAGAATTGAAAATGGCTCGTGTCAAGCCAATTCCCAAAAAGGGAGACCATCTTCTTGTCTTCAATTATCGGCCAATTTCGATTATATCGTCTTGTAGCAAAATGTTAGAACACATTGTCACAACAGTCATATCAAAACACCTAGATGAGCATAACTTTTTATCTCCGTATCAGCATGGTTTTCGAAAGGGCTTGTCGACAACAACTCAGTTATGTACAGTCATTCATTCTCTTGCATCTGTGATTGATAAGGGCGGCCAAGTAGACGTCATAATCCTAGATTTCTGCAAAGCTTTCCACTGCATCCCCCAAGATAAGCATATGGTTAAATTACAGCTTATTGAACTTCCAAATTTTCTATTAGCCTGGAATTGTAACTACCTGTCTGATCGCTCCCAGTTTGTGTGCAATATTAATCAGAACTCTATTCTTCTGCCGGTTACTTCAGGTGTCCCACAGGGCAGTGTACTCGGTCCCTTACTATTTTTGATATACTGTAATGATGTAGTAAATTGTGTAAACCCACCTGTTAACGTTCGACTTTTTGCAGATGATTGTATTCTGTTTAACTCGATAACTAGTTCTAATGACCAAGCAGCTCTCCAGTTCACTTTAAACAATATATGTCTATGGTGCAATCAATGGGGTATCAAACTAAACTTGGATAAATCAGTTCTGCTCCGTGTCACTAACAAGAAAAAGCCAGTACTAACTGACTACACGCTCTCTAACCAACCTCTTAAAGAAGTTAAGGAATACAAGTATCTTGGTGTCACTCTAACGAATAATTTAAGTTGGAATTCCTACACTAAACAAGTTTCTTCCGCAGCTTTCCGCAAATTATGCATGCTAAGGCACAAACTTAAGGATGCTCCTGCGAAAGTGAAATTTTTTGCTTACCAATCCTTGATTCTCCCTAAATCAGAATATGCATGCGTTGCCTGAGATTCTTATACTAAATCTAACAATGTTGCATTAGAAAAAATTCAGCGGAGGGCAGTTCGTTTCATTTATTCTCTTTACAAGCCTGGTAGTTCTGTAACTAGTGTAATGCTTTCAAATAGTATCACATCTTGCAGTCGAGACGCAGATTCTTACGTCTCAAATTTTTGTACCAACTTTCTAACCGCAAATTTGCTCTGAACCCTAACCGCTACCTCACACCACTAAGAACACGCCAGACTCGGCATTCACACGCACTTTCTTTAACACCATATTTTGCTCGTACTAACTTGTTCAAATTTTCCTTCTTTCCTCCTACCATTGAAGAGTGGAACGATTTGCTTGCAAGCAGTTTACACTCTCCCGATCCTACTC